AAGGGTACAATTCATTTTAGTTCTAATTTGTCACTCGATCCAAATCTCCATTCGTCAGTTTCTAGTTCGTGTGTTCTAATGAAAAAGGACCAACAAAAGAAAAGTATTAGCTCTGATTGAAAAAAAAAATTGAACATATTATAAGAAAATGGAAATTGGTACTTCTCACCCGATCCAATCTTCCCCATTCATCAAATATTCTAGTGAAGAGAAATGTAATAAAAAATGCTTGTTAGTTTTATTCGAAGAAAAAACTAAAACAAGATAAAAAAAAAAGTAGCATCTATTTGTACCAAGTTTCTGGTTTCTCACCCGATCTAACCTATAATCTCAAGCACCATTTGTATTCCATTAGACCATTTTTAAAAAAGGCTAGTACTTGTTCTGCCTAAATTTCCATTGTAGTCGCCACTATGTTCAACAAAGCTAATTTAAAGAAAGGGCACAATAAGTGTATTAGAGAAGTCAGAATACAATTAGAAGATCTTTAATTACAAAGTTTAGTATTAAATATGTTCGCGAGTATCCTTTTATATCCTGTGGCTGATAATTTGACAGTCGATTGTCATTCACAATTTGACTGCTGATTGTCATGAATTCATAATTTGACTGCCGATTATCCTTCAAATTTTATATATATCGATATTCGTTCAAATTTTTTTTTTAGTAAATAAATTCGCTATCTGATTTTTTTCTTTTTTTAGATCGAATTTTTTAATATGTCCATAATTGGGATGATTTTTTTTTTATGTAGACGATTTTAGATTTTTTTTAAGCTAATATTTATTAACATTTGGCCAAGCCGAATTTCATATGTTTGACCTGTGTTAAAACAGAGTGCTCACTTCTTCCAATCATGTTGAATTTGTATATCTAAATTAATTTGTTCTTGTGGATAAAAAAAAGGAATGATTTGATAATGCTGATTGCTACTGTATTCGAAGGCCAAATATAATTCTTCATTATATCCATCAAGTTGTAATTCTCCTAAAAATTTAAGTTTTCGAGGTGGGGATTTTTATGTAATAATTCTTTGAATATATATCGACATAATCTTTCAAATACTGTATATGAGGACAACTATTGCACCACCTATAATTTCATTTTATATCTCTATAGGATGCTTTCTATTAATGCTGATTTTTACAAACCCATAAATAAATATTAGGGTTTGATCTAACTTTAGCCAAGCATTGTCCTTCACATCTTTTGGCATAGGTAAGAGCTTTAGTATCAATCTTATTATAATCTTGCATTTTTATAATATTAGAATTTAACTTGAATATTTTAGTTAATTATACCCTGGAAGTATCACTTTTTTTCAAACTTGAGAGAAAAAAAGAAAAAAGAGTGCAAGAGTATGGATGAGATCACTTTTCTAAAATATAAGCAAAATTTTGAGACTAAAATAAAGATTCCTACTACTCCATACAAAAAAGAATTAAAAACCCGCTCTTTGGCCCTCATTGAATACGCATAACTGTTGTTTAAAATAATACAATCTAGTTAAGTAGTAATTTTTGGAGTAGAGAGATTGCTATATTCAGCTAGTTATATATCCGGGTAAAGAGATTTATGTTACTTTTACAATAAACATAAGAAAAAATTTAAATAAAAAATTAATATTCTGATACCTGGATCATATAAAGAGGTTTTTTGTATCATATGATTTTGGATGATAAGATTTAGATGACAAAATAGGTTTCTAGGTTGTGGTAGTAGTTGCTGTTATCCGATTTGTGTACCTGCCTGCCAGATCGAAATAAAATTTTGGTAAGTGCTTCCGGTATATGGATTAAGGTACATATGAGTCAGAGACTTGAAGTTCAGCTTCTTCGATAACTATTTTTGTATTATATAATTTTAATCAGGATATAGTTTAGAGTAAGTAGTATGCTTTAAGTAGTACTAGTAGAGACAACTTATATTGGCCACCAAAGATTTTTTAGTTTGAGTAATATTTCGAGTAAAAAAAAATGGCCCACAAAGGAATAATTATTACAGATATATATAAAATAAAATTGTACTTTAATAGGCCACCAAATAAGGATAACAATTTGGCATGTAGTGCCTTATTCTTGATTAATAATTGAGTGCATTATATAAGTATTATTTTGAATAAAAAAAGTGGCCCACAAAGGTAAAATTATTACAGATATATATATAAAATAAAATTATGCTTTTGTGGGCTACCAGGTAAGGATAACCATTTGGCATTATGTGCCTCATCCTCGATTGATATTTGAGTGCATTATACAAAGCTAGGATATGAATACTATTTCAGCACTACATGCCTCAACTCTGGCTCTCATTAAGAAATTAACCAGAAAGCTAGAGCACTATGTATCCAGTTCGGGCATAACCCTCACATCGGGCCCGCAAATGATAACATGCAACTGAATGTATCATTAGCATATTTTTATAGATTGTGAGGTATCTAAGTGTGACGATGTAAACACAAATTTGTCATCATATTTTTTACAGATTATAGGTACCTAAGTGTAATGATAAACTTATAAACCAATTGTCACTCAAATAATGATGCAAGTGTGAATCGTTCGTCACTTGAATAATGAAGCGAATACTAATATATCTTTGACGATGCAAGCGCGAATTGTTCGTCACTCGAATGATGATGCAAGTTTAATAGAGGTCAAAATGAGTAGCTATAAAACAAGTAAGTAACAATATATCCATAAGTAGATAACAATTTATTCTCATAAGTAGGTAACAACCTAATGTAAATAGGCAGCAGTATATATATACTGCTGCCTACTAATATTACAAAAAAAAATATCAGAAGCTATAATATTTAAGTAATAGAATAAATAGTACTTCTTTTTTTAAAAAAATATATATAGTAGATATAGCAATATAATAAAGTATCAAGTTGAAAAAAAACTGCTAATTAACCAAAAAGAAAAAAGATAAAAAAAAAGGAACTATTTTAAAGAAAGCCAATATAAAAAGGAAAACAAGGCTTTAAAATTGCCCAATAACAAAAAAGAATTAAATAATACAGAGAAAAAACTAGAAAAAAGTAGTAAAATAAGTTTAGAAAAAAATTAAACATAGTAATAAAAAGATAAATAACTGGATATGAACTAGTAAATAGTCTTGGTGAAATAATAATTAAAAAAAGATCATGACAGACTGTAGATTCAGGCTAATAAACTGCAGATCCAATATTTAAAATAGATAAAGGAGAAATAAAAAGGCTGATTCTACTTTGGCAGGTTGCACATAGATACCAATTGGCAACCAGGTAAGCCACACTTTAGTTTAAATAGTATAGTTATAAATAGAACTTATATTCTGCTAAAATGTTAAATCTATAATAAAAAGTAAAGTTGTAACATGATTACTAAAAAAAAAAAATTAATTTAAAATATTGTTATATAATGCTAGAAGTCTATATTTAACAGTTTTAATTTTTTAAATATAACTTTTTATTTAAAAGATTTTAAAAAAATCACTAAAAAATTTGTGCTAACAATTTTATATAAAAAACAAAAAAATAATATGTAATGGACTGTTGTAAATATGAAGCGGAGTCGTGGTAATACATTGTGTTTATAACATACCGTGAAATATCTTTTATATCCCACGGTTCCTATTTCTGATTAAAATTTTTACTGATTATGTCCTGGCCGTGGAAAAATTTTGATTTTCACGGCATTACGTAATCATAAAGATATCATCAGGAATGTTCATTAGAGACCGTGGGATATATAAAAACTTATAATAGGTGCGTTTTATAATAAATAAAAGCCAAATACTACTAAATATGTAGTTTTGTTTGTTTATTTATTGTTAGGCCATACAAACTTAATAAATTGGTTCTCATAACCCGACCGGGTCAAATTCTGCAAAAATTTTGGCTATATAAAGCAAGGATATTATATTACTACTGTATATATAAATCAAAAATAATTCTAATGCCATTAATATCTACCCTTACCCACAGAACTCGAATGATGCTACGTATAGCTGAGATATATTAACTTTTCTTGTATTTTTATTGGCTAAGAATTTTTAACCAATCATACTTGAGGAATTGAAAATTTTTAGATGGGAGACTACGTCCACTTACGCCGATATTATCAGATCTAACAAGCTACGTATCATATCGATATCGTTATCGATATTAATAACCAACCCGGCATCAGCCATTTCGAGCATCAGCCGCGACAATTACTAAAATTAGATAGTTACTGTATCGTTATATAAAAATTGTCTAAGACCATAATTGTTATCATACGCCGAAATATGCATACTGTCCGTTTTAATAAATTAATTAAACGATGCAAATTACATTTAATAGTCTCAATGACATAATTTAGTTATATGAAATTATAATCTACAAGATACTTTGAACCTAATAGAGAGACCTATTATGTACAAAATAAAGTTGATAGAGCTTCCAGGGACTAAATGGTAGGTGCATATGACACAAAAAAAAAAAATTTATACTATCAGCTATATCAGATGTATGCGTGAAGCGCTTCGAAACATACGTACGAAAAAACGAAATTTCAATCACAAATGCACGAACCAACATAATCTTGTTATCTATCGTAGGACAAACCTTTATTGTTCATTGTATTTTCCGTTCTCATTGTTAAGACAATGGTGCGACCTTGAGATGAAACTGCGAGATGGTAATGTCACAATGAACGAATGAAAAGAATTTTTTAGAAGGAATAATAATGGTACAAATATGATTTGTACGAGCAGAATTAACTTAATAATTATTCTTTAGCATTCTACATTCTTTAGGCAAGTTTCCCAACGGCAATTATGCTTCTTTTAGAAATTTTGTTGAATCCAGTGCAAGCGCCCGCACTAAAAATACCTAAAATACATTGTCATTTCCAATTGGCCGATGATCATCCATTACTCTCTTTTCAAAAAGGACCGCAGTGACGTCCGTTACTATTTATACCGCATATAAGTTGTCTTTCGAAGCTGGTCAAGCTACAAAGACAATAACAAAAGACATGTCGTTTAATCTTACCTCCGCTAACAATCGTAGAGGTATCACTTCAAATAGAAGAAGCGTGCTTAATCGTCCTTCACGGCGAAAACAAGTCACTAAAAAGCAGCCACCGAAGAACGGTAACCAGTGAACCGGAGCGTTTAAATTCCTTGGCTGTCTTGACTTTATTAATCATATGGTCAAAAAACTGTTGCTCAAGTTTTTGGCTTTACAACTCTTACTTTATAGAAACCGCCATTGTTGCGACCGGTTCTTGCCGTTACGATAGTTCACTCGGTCTTCTCACAAAGAAGTTTGTTTGTCTCTTAAAAGAAGCTAAAGATGGAGATTTAGACCTGAACACAGCGGCCACCGCATTAAAGGTACAAAAACGTAGGATATACGACATCACCAATGTATTAGAAGGAATTGGATTAATTGAAAAAAATTCAAAAAATCATGTTCGTTGGAAGTATGTATTAAATTTATTTTAAAATAAAATATATATGGTCTTCATAATGTTCTTTTAATACATGTGTGATATAATCGCGTAAATCAAAATCATCACCATTGATAATCCGCCTACTTAGAGGTACACAACTACAATCAGCATCTTCATTACGCCAGAATTATAAAACAAAAATTGAAGAACTTAGAGCGGCAAATGCCACACTTGAAACTGAGCGATTAGAACTTGAAAAGGCCAATCAAAATGTGGATATTAATATTAAAAGTATATATGAAACCGAAGAAAGGTTTGTTTAAGTATTTCATTTAGATTTAATTATAGTGATCCAAACACAATCTCATTATTCTTATCCCTTACTTTTGCAATAAAAGATTCGCATTTGTATATAAATCGGAAATCGAAAATATTAACGCTTTTCGTGGAGATATATTAATTGCAGTAAAGCCTTTTTCAGGGATACCCTTGCAGATGTCCGAGGAGGTTGAGGTAACACTGTGATCATATGATGTTATGGATTAATATAAAGTTAGGCCAATCATTGATTTGCGTTCTTTCTGAATAGAATGGGCAAACGAATCGACCCTTATACCAAATTCATATTCGAGATCCAAGTGGTCAGCCAGTTTATATTCTTCAACTTTCAGATAGTAATCCAGAAGATCACTTCACTGTAACGAATAATCATTATGGATTGGGAAATATGCCGTCTCATACATTTACTCAACCTAGTCCACCATTAAATATTCATGATAATGGACCACTCCGTCTCAACATAACTCTTCCTCCACCTTACCCTCATCCAACCTCAACGCCAACACCTCCTGATGAAGATTACGATATGATTTATAGTAATATGGACGATCATCATCGTTTACATTATCGTCATCAGAAAGGTTATCGTCAAAATAATCATCGCCCTCATCGCCAATATCATCGTCACTCAGAATTTGGAATTATTGATGATGGAAATGAAAATTTTGAACCTCTATATCCATCATTCGGTACGAGAGATTATGATTTTGGCACATTCAGACATGAAGGTCGAGAAGGATTAGATATATTCGGACGAGATCTCAATCAAAAGATGAGAGGCGACCATCTCCCATAATACGGGGTATTATTGTTAAAATTAGAATGTTTGCAATGAAACGCAGACAAGGTCAATATAATATATAGAATAATGCAGTTTGCGAACATAACATAGATACATTCAAAGAGATGACATTACCATATAATTAGATTATCGATAATAGAAAAAAGTTAGACTGTAGAGTTCATATTAGTATGAAAAAAAAAAAATTGTTAATGCATCACATGAACACATACATTCCTTGTATATTCGCAAATAGATGGACATTGGTTTTTTTTTTTTTCTGCTTTTCTTCCCCCTTTTTTTTTTTTTTTTTTTTTTTTGTAGAAGTGAAGTGAAGGAATAATAACTTGTAGGAACTTTAAATAATATAGAGTATGGTCTCATCAGAAAGTAATGGTGGCCATCTTTTTACAATAACCTTTTTTTTTTCTTAAATTCGTTTTCTAATGATTAATAATTTGCTCCCTGCTTCAATGCAGGTCTGAATAAAATCTGGTATGCTAGTGACACTTCCAAGAAATATGTAGCTACTTTTCTCTAGTGTAATCCCGATCAAATTTTCTCTAAAATCCAAATTGCATAAAAGTGCGCCATCATAAAACACATACTAGAGATACTGAAGAATATTAGACAATGATCGGCAGAGTAAATTAATAGAAAAAAATGGTGTAAGTTACCATTATCTTGACAGTCGACTAATTGTACGTATCTCGGCGTTACCATTGATTTGCATACGAATGGTAATACCAGACGCGACTCAGCAGGATAAATTAATAAAGATCATCATGAATCGGCAATATATTTTTTTTTCATAGGATTTTTTTTTTGTCAATCAATGTATAATCCATAGAAAGTAAAATAACGTCCGAATTTTTTTTTTAAATGCATCTAACTGAAACGCGATTAACCCCTGCCGAGATGTGCTTTTCACAGGAAATTTTTACGGGGTGCTACTTATATCGAGTAAGATGCATGCCTTTATACCGAGTATTAGTCATTGTAGTTAATGGGATATATTTAATGAATCCGATTTCGTAATTGTTGTTGGAATACACGTACGTTGTACTGTATAATAATAAAAGAAAAAAAATGTATCTAGATATTTATGTTAAAGTCAAATGCATCTGCTCGGGATCGAACCGAGGACCTTGTGCGTGTGAAGCACACGTGATAACCACTACACCACAGATGCCTGATACACAGAACATCTCTTTCTTATCTGATTTTCTTAGATGTTTGACAAAACACCAAAATAGTGCCGAGAATAACGCCCGATGAATTTAAGTTCCGATAATAACGATAATGGACAAAGATTCGGAATAAGTGTACGAATTTATTAACAAAGTCGTAATATTGTAATGACAAAGCGGAGTCTTAAATTGTTCGAACTTTATCCTATATATCAGAAATATATAGCATGTATAATTAGAAAAGAAAAATTCAATCATGATGCCATATTTATACAAATATATACTGGGCATAGATCCCAACAGGTATATCAAAGATGGAAATCTCATTTGCGCAGTAAAAACCTATTGCTATATAGGTCGAACCTTTCTAAGCCAAAACCTGAAGTGGAATCTCTTATTATAGTAATACTCAATGGTTCTTTTTAATTTGGATTTTTTTAAATGCTGCATTTACAATTAATAATTCAAATTTGTACAATTTGGTCGGATTATAAAAAAAAACTCGTTAATTCAAAACTTTTTTAAAAAAATGCTTTTAATAGTAAATTGATTATGTTATATACAATAAACTAGAGTTCCAATCAAGATCCAATCCGGATAAATCCGTCATTCAGATCTGATAAACAGATCAGATACCAACAGGTATTTGGATAATTATCGAATATCGATAGCGATAGCGATAGTAAATGGATATCATCCGAATAAACTCAGATCCGGATACTTGGACAACGAATAACGGATATCCGATAATTATCCGGAAACGCTTAATGGATTGAAACTCTACAATAAACTTTTTTGGGATAGCTTAAATTAAAATTACACTTTTATGAAAATTGGGTAAAAGGTAAATCGTAGCTGAAGGATATTATAAAGCTTGTAGTAAAATTGGCAAAAAATTATTATTACTTTTATATAGTGATGAAACGCAGAAAGTTTCTGATAATAAGTAAAAGATCACAAATTACGAAAAGGAACTTATTAATACTTCGCGATATACTAATTAGAATTCTACAACCATTAGAATCAGAATAGCTTTCTATACAAATTTCACTAGAAGTTTATTAGCAGAATAAACTTTTTATTATAAGCTAGATTTATTTTAATATTATAAACCAACTATAATGACTATGTAATTTTTTATTTATATTTTATATTGTAATCAGTGTTGTCACTTGGCCGAAAATTGCAAAAAAAAATTATTGGCCGAAAATGGCCAAACATTTGTATAATAAAAGCTAGTAATATGATTGGCTAATATTATCGTTTTTAGTCAAAGTTTGGCGGCAAAAATTTGCCAACACTGATTGTGATTCAAGAAAATCGTTGACCTTTTGATCTTCTGTGTTGCTTAACAGGAGGAGCCGTCGATGTTACACGACTGATCCATCACCCGGTGTGCAACATATAAAAAAATTAATTTTACCAGATCATTCCGCCAGTAAATGTTATGATTATAATAAAATGGTGTGGGATTATAATCATAACATGTACTAACGGAATTGTAAATTAATTTTTTATATGTTGCACACCGGGTGATGGATCAGTCGTGTAACATCGACGGTTCCTCCTGTTGTGTCGCTTTCAGTGCATTGGTTTATAACGGGCGTGTTGGCGGTAGAATTAATTTGGTAAATTAATACGGCTACGGCATGTGTCGTATTATTTGCCGTGCCGCAAGTCGTAATGCCGTAACGCCGCAATGCCGTAATGCCGTAATACCGTAATGTCGTTATATTGAAATATCAGAATGCTAATGTTATTGCAGTATTGTGTTAAAATACTGCAATGATGCAATAACATAGGATAACATTCCGCTAGTACGTATTGTATTGTTTAATTTTTATAATTAAGATAACACAGTAAATTTACTAGTTTTTTATGAATAAATAATTCATCAAAGTTCATAGTGAAAGATTCTTAATTTTTTTTTCTGTTCGGCCAAGGTAATTTCTTTAACTGGGAGACTTGAAAAAGTTGTCGCAAATATTGTATCCTGCGTAATATGGCTTTATTTATTAAGTAAATATTCGTTATCAGATATATATTGGGTTGACTAGTATTGCTTAATACTAACTCATTCATATGATACACAGTATATACTTATTATACAATGCAATGATAAACATTTACAATTAGTTTATTTTAAAACGCACTATCTTTTATATTCACCCAACTGATAATGCAAATAAAATGAAATTAAGATACAGTTTAATGTAAATATTCATAAATCTGAGTGGCTTACTGGTTTGTAAATGACATCATGATTAGGTTAATTAAGTTGCATAAAGGGGTTTCTAAATTTTAAAACACTCTAATGAAGATTCGAGAACTTAAACACCTTTTTTTTAAATAACTGACTAATGAACATTTTTTATACTATCTTAAAGTATATTGATTAATACAGTAATTAGTGACGTTAAGAGAAAATGAGCTTTCAATCATCCAGAATTTATATGATTGAAGTCCCATTTTCTCTTGAAAACAATATCTTATATACTTTCTCGAATTAGATTAATGTGAAATTAAGGCTGAATGTAATTACGTATTATGTATATTTATAAATTTGAATATCTTATCTTTAATATATATATTGGTTAATAAACTATCTATATAATTAGTAATTATTCGAATTATTCGCAAAATCGACCTGGTAAAGATGTCATTAAAATTAAGTACTTAATAGGAGTTTTAAGAAATCTTAGTGTAGAATATAGTAAATTAAAATATAACTTATTGTTACGATTATTTATACTCGCGCCTAGTGATGGGACCTCTTGAATTAATAATAATAATAATAATAATTGTTAATCAATTAGTCGAGTTATTAACTAAAAACTACTTAATAATGTGCAGCGTAGTATCATTCTCTATTTCATTAATTGGGGGTGAATCAATAGAAATCAAGCAAATTTTTTATAATAAAAATTTTTTATAACTTTAAGCAAGAATAACTTAACAAAAACGTAA